TCCAAAAATACATGCACGCACATACGTGAAACAAACAACAACGTATGTTCAGGGTGAATACGTGTATGTATAGATGTATATAATTACTCTATGTGTTGTTTTATTATAGTTATCATAATTTATTTTACACTTACTTGTAGCTTGAAGGGACAACAAATTTTGTTTCATTATACAACCTTGTGCTGTATAATGACAAATAAATAACCTTGTAACTTATACCTTGTATACACTCTGAGATCTATTTCTCACTAAGCCAAGTCTATTGGAAGCAGTGGTGTCATTTTAGCAGAAATGTTCGCATAAGGGATGAAACAGTATGAAAATTTCATATCATGATTATAGTGACAAATTATCACGGTTATCAGTATTATCACGGTTATCAGTATTATCACGGTTATCAGTATTATCACGGTTATCAGTATTATCACGGTATTGTAAAAATGTGCCGAAAAAGATTAGGATGAACTGACATACACATCAGAAAATCAGAAATGAAATTGCCATTTTGTTTGCATAAACAATAAAATATATGAAAACTATTTAAGTGTGCATTATCAAGATTTTGTATTATATATTATTTACACAATTACATCAAAACAAATAAGTCTTTAGAAGACAGTGATAGTAACTGCAATGAGCCCAACAACTGACGTAAATACAGGAGTCTGTAGCGTTTCTCCTGTTCCGACACTTTTACAACTAATTTGATAGCTGCTGGATTTAAAATGAAGCAGATATGCTGGTTGGTTGACTAAACTGTGTAACGTGTTATCATGTGCAGTGGACGAATAGAGTCTGCAGACACCCAACGCATACAGCAGCAGAACAATGTGTAGCGTTTTTACAAGAGCAGCTAACACTAAGGGCTTCACTTTACAAGCTGTTAGCAAGTCAGAGAGACAAACCAAAGCTAAAAGTTAACTCACCCTGCGTTCACTAGAAGGTCATTTTCTTCAATCAAGTTGCCCTCAGCTCTCATTAAAACTAAAATGCCGTTGTTGACCCAAACAAACCCACGTTGCATACTGCGCATGCACGCCTGCTTCTGGGAGACTGTTGCTAACTTTGGTTGATGCTGGACAGTATTTGCCCTGAGTTTATAATAATATAGTAACCAAACCTGGTTATCATGGTAATTAAAATGTGTACAGTAATAAAAACCGTAAGGAATTTTGCCATTTATCGTTAAACTGGAAATCGTTTCATCCCTAGTTCGCATTTAACAAGACAGACAACTCCTGCTGCCATCCCAGTGGCATTTCGTCTGCCCTTTATCTCCACAAACACTCATACATGCACTACAGTGAGACATACATACACAGACCAAGTCATGCACAGTGTCATAACAAGTACATGCATATTTTGTAGCTTCACCTCAGAAATAGAGATACAAACACACACAGAAATACACAGGTTATGTTTTCCCAGTGACTTGCTGGCTACATTGTGTCCCCATTCTGCCTCTGTGCTTCTCCTCTGAGTCTAAAGAGAAAAGGAGGAGTGTTTCTTCAATGGAAGTAGCCCAAAGATTAATTCACTTAATCTTGGGCTGTAAATGGAGTATTCAAGCGGCTTAAAAAACAAATTGAATGCAAAGGCTGAGAGTAATAACAACATTTGTCTTAGCTGCGGCACAATGCCCTTTTCCACAGCACTCTTCCACATGAGATGGTGGCTAGATTTCCAACATTCATTATGACAGAAAGGGACTTGTGTATATGCACATGTACGTACATGCACGGTCTGACAAAAACACAAACTCGCTCCCTCACACACAGATACGCACACATTTTGACTGTTGCTACCTACTGTCTGTATGGAGTGACAAAAAGATGAAGACTTTGAGACATAGACATGGTGAGACTCACCATCAATGAAGAGAGTATAGCTGTGTGTGTTAGTGTGTGTGTGTGTGCGTGTGGACGCATAATTGACTTTAACAGATGTTGTGCTGTGGTTTTTAATGTGTAATCCCCAGATTCATCATGTTGCACATCAGGCACAAGGGTTAATGTTGCAGAATATAGGTTAAAGCCAAAGAGGGAGTCAAGCAAAAGCAACAGTTTAATTCTCCACTGATAATACGCTCAATGCAACTCTATAATCAAGATTATGGCTTTTTATTGCTAGATCACTGGCAAACCCTTGGCTAATGACCTATTATTTTTACATGAGCAATAACTAATTAGTTAATGTAATTAGTTCAAAGTCTGATTGAATTGCTGTACTCACTGTGTAATGTACTCAGTATGACTAAATTATGCATGTATGATTAATCAGTCTTATCAATGCCATATATTTGAAACTCAAATGAAAATCATTGCTGTCCTGCAAAAAAAACTAATATCTCCTCTCTTCAATACTTGGCATTTGTGGCAAATCAATACTTTGATATGTAATATCACACTCATAGCAAAGGAAAAATCAAGCGTTTTTTCTTAATTACTAAAACTTTGACATGATTTGAAGATTTATGCAGAGCAGTGGGCATACTGAATAATACAGTAGTACAGTAGTGCAGTGTCATTTAAAGTTCACATTATGACACAATTAAATCTCTCTGCTGTTCTGATTATCACATGATTTTTTTATGATTCTGCTAACATATTTTTAATGACTTACATGGTTTCAGGAAACCTTATTCATCTAATGTCATTTTCTTTTTACCATTTTGTGCATATACCTGCCATTTTACTATGGATCACACTTGCTTTTCAAGTCAGGGGCCACATCAATCATGCTGGATCAAAGCTCAAAATACTGATTACAAATATTGTTATATTTCCTTAATAATAGTGCACCAGCTAATTACCAGTAGGACGTTAGCTGGGAAATAATCAGCTTGGATTTGAAGCAAACAGAGAGCGGTAATGATATTACAAAATAATAATAGTCTGGAGAGCAATCTCAGAACATGAGGGTTCATGTCTTTATTGCTGCACTAATAATTCCTTCTTGGTTGTTTGACACAAAACAAAATAACCCATTTATTAGAATCTGTACTACAGCGCCGGCTCAAACACACAGACTGGAGTATGTTGGCCACCCTGGACTCCCACATCGACATGGATAATGCCTCCACCATAAACAGTGTCAACACCTTAAAACGAACTACAATGTTCCCAAATCAGAAGCCGTGGATCAACAGAGGTCTGCCACACTACTGCAGGCATGCAACACCGCTTTCAGATCAGGTGACGTGCAGGCCGATAGTTCATCCAAGGCTAGCCTGAAGAGAGGCATCAAGAGGAATGAGCACAGCTCCAACCTACAGATTATAGAGCACTTCAAGAACAACTTTGACCCAAAATGCATGTGGCAAGGCATCCAGGCCATCATGGACGACAAACCCACTACCCCCCAATCAGTGACACCTCCTTCCGTGATGAGTTTACAAACTTTTATGCCCGCTTTGACAGGCAGACAACCAGCCCTTCTCACCTACCGACGTGTGTACTGCACTAAGCAGGAATATGGCACAAAAGAATGAATGCTCAGGCCCTGTGCTGAGCAGCTGACTGCAGTCCTGACTATAATCTTCAAAATGTCACAGGGCCAAGCGTCTAAGGAAGGGTTTGAGTCCCTAAGTGTTAAAGGGTTAGAGTCCCATTAGGGTTAGAGTCCCTAAGTGTTAAAACAAAAAGGGGGGGGGGGGGATAGAGCATTGCACTGCCCACCATCATGAAGCGCTTCGAGACCCTGGACATGCCCCAAACCACCCAAACTGGATCACTCCAATTCACCTACTGCCCAAACAGGTGTCAGAGGACGCCATCTCCAACTTGGACAACAGCAATACCTGGGCAGCAATAGCTTTTGCAACAGGATACTGAACTTCCTAACCAACAGAGTATGTTAGGTTAGACAACTCCTCCTCCTCAACACACCTGCATCCCACAGCAGTATGTCTTTAGTCCCCTTATCTACTTCCTCTTCACCAACGACTGCATGCCTGTACATATTTCCAGTACCACTATCAAGTTTGGAGCCCACACAATGGTGGTTGGCCTCATCTGCTCTGTCTCGGACCGAAAAGTGCTGCAGAGTGTGGTAAAAACTGTCCAATGCAGCACTGGTACGCCGCTACCCACCATTGAGGTGGACCAGCACATTGCATAGATACATTACAAACATTTATTCATTTAGCTGACACTTTTCTCCAAAGTGATTTACAATTGCTATATATGTCAAAGGTCGCAAGCCTCTGGAGCAACTAGGGGTTAAGTGTCTTGCTCTGGGACACATTGGTGTCTTACAGTGGTTTTGAACCCGGTCTCTCACACCAAGCAGTTTTATCCACTGCTCCATCACCACCCCAGCACAAGTGGTGTCTGGGAAGGGCGATGCCGAGTACTGATCCGATACCAGTGTAAAATGAATATGCTATATTCCTCCCTGTGAGGAAGACACTGGAAATCACTCATCGTGTGTAAGACAACATTATGTAAGGTTTGGTGCGATTTGGCGCCTCTACCGTGTAATTCACGGCTGTCTAAAATAGGAAAGCTGTACATGTGCATTTGTTATAACATTACTACCAAAAACTATAAAGTCTTTGCTAACATTACCAAACATCAAGCAAGTGCGACAACATAAGACATGTGCGTCTATCTTGCAGCTTCTGCCATTAGCCAACTTTAAGTCGTTAGAGGCTTCTGATCCCGGTTGCGTTGCCTGCTCCACACCCCCGCCAGCAGCATAAAGTACCTTAAACTTGGGTGGCAAGATAGCCAACAAAGCTAGGCAGCAACTGAGGCAAGAGCACTTACAGTAACGTTACCGATGTCCGAGTTTGCTAACATCAACTCGAGATTTATAGCTAGCGGCTAACCCCCTGGCTGTGGCTCATTTTGCTCGTCGACAACTTTGCTAGCACAGACAAAAACACAGCAAGCCAGCTAAGAAGTTATTACTTACTGGTCTGAAGATGAAGTGCATCCTTTAAACTCTTTTGGCTCACGCAGACAAGTAATGTTAAAAGCCATTCCGATATTACTTACACCGGTAAAATAGTTTGCTCGGTCACTCTCTTTTTCTCTTCCTCGCTTCCTCTGACAACTGCTTCTGTTTCTTCGTAGCCTCTGCCATGGTATCTGTACTGAGAATATCGAGCTAGCTTCCTTCAAAGAACTTAAATTGTTCATTATATACTTTAGCTTCTTCTAATAACTTGCTTGCCAAAGAGTCCAATAATGCTACGTTAGCTCTCAGCAACATGTTCGGGTGTATCAGCGCGCTGCTGACTCATCGCGTAGTACGCGCGTAATTTAATTGAATGCGCCCGGTATTGGATATCAGTATTGATCGGTGCATCCCTAATCTCAGCATATTCATATCTACCAATTACTGTTTATTTAAATATTAACTCGATACACAGCCTATGTATATACTCTGCATTTCTACACTTGGATGGTTAGATGCTAAACTAATTTATACTGATGCTTTCCCTAGTATTTGATGTAGTTTAAGCACACGTGCAAGGGGTTCAAGTCAGTGTGTCTAAACCTTCTCCCTGCTCCTGAAAGAGGGGACTGTACTTTGTGCTGCTTTTGACAGTGCTGTTTTGACACTGATATCCTGGAACTACTTGAACACCTCCTGTACCCTGGTGCAGGTCAATACTGGCATTCCCCCAAGATTAATCCAGGGCAGCTGTTGGACCCTATCTATTAGCATTCATTTAGTGATTTAACTGGTAAATTTAAGGCTAAAACAAACGAGATTTTTACTCCATTCTATGTAGTTCTGGGAACCTCCTCACCTATCTTAAGCTCACAGCAAAATCTAGGGGGGGAAATCAAGGGGGAGTTCAGAACTCAGTCAGGTTTCCTACAGGTACAATCAGCACCAGTTTTAAGTCCTGTGTCTTGCTTGATGTGGAAAAGATTTTTAAAATGGACAGACATGTGACTGCTTTGGACACAGTCAGATCATGGTTTATCATGAATTGGTTTATAAATGTGAAGCATAAAACAGACATTGCACTTGCAGAATCTTGCTTAACTTTATTTCTGCTATATCCACTGTAATTGTTGATGAAGTTCAAAAGTATCCAAAGAACGGATAGTCACATCATCATCTAAACCTCATGCTACAGTCTGTTGGTGGGGCAGGTTCACCTGCCAAATTAAAATGACTCCTCTGTGGCTTTCTAAACTTTCTCAGGTTAGCAGAGTATCACCTTATAAATCACAGGTTACAACCTTTTTTGACAGAAAGAAACAGGAAAAAAATATCTTTGGTTTTAATGGTTTTATTTTGCTGTCCTTTTTATATCTAATATTGGTTTACTTGTATTCTGATTTTATTTGGTTTCATTTTGCTTTGGCTTTGAGTTTTACCAGCACTTTGTTTTTTTACGTTCCGTATCCCCTGACACTTTGTGTTAATACTTTAGGTCCTTTAGAGACAAATTTAAAATGATGATGATCTCCAATAAGCGGGTTTTAAGTGGATATTCACAGCAACTGAAAAGTAATTATGAAGGCTATTATATGAATCAAGTTGTAAAAAAGCCAGGTCTTACCAAAGGGAAGTGCAGTATTAGGTGACATAGCCCAGTCCATTTTCTGACCGCCTGCGCTCTGATGCAGCTACAGATTATGATAACAACGGTAATATTGAATGACAAGATGTCAGAGAAAATCCTTGCCTCCTGACCGTCTTTCCTCGAGCTGTCTCTCCTCATCCTTCTTTCTTGTCCTTCTTTCTTCCTCCTTTCCTCCTGTCCTGCCTGTCCACTTTCCATCTCAGAGAACCTTGTCTAACGAGGTGGACAGATTCTGATGGGTTCTAATGAGAACACATTCCACTAGAATAACTTCTGATCCTGCGCATTTGTACACACATGCACGCACACACATGCTCGTACACACATACAGTGTGTCTTATACACAGACGCATGCATGCACAAGTACACACCTGTTCTACAGTCACCACTATGGGTTCAGTTTTCAATTAATGCATGAGAGCTCAGTAACATTCACTGACCAGGAACGGTTTGTGTGTGTGTGTGTGTGTCTCTGAGGAGGGCAGAGCAAAAGAGAGGTGGTCTGTGTGAGCTGCAGTGGTGTGGGCCTCTGTGTGTGCGGGAGTGTGTGTGCATGTTACATTACTGACATTGTTAAGGGAATGGTACTGCATGACTTGTCAGTGTACATTTGTATCACTTGGGCCTTGCTCCCACGATGAAACATAGATAGCCTCGCAGTAGCACTTCCAAGAGAGAAATTTCAATTCTTCAAGGAGACCAATACAGCAGTCTAAGAATAAGGCTGACAGGGAATAGAAGGAAAAACGACAGTCATGGTGCTCTGACAGTGCATTTCCTACAATTTGATGCTTGCTATGCTTGTGATCTATGACATTCATAAGAAAATCTGCAAAAAGCCTTCACACAAACGTGAACATGTGTGTTTTAGCAATTTATTACTTTGGGCATGTTTGAATATATATTTTGAAACATGTAAGGGTGCCGGCTTTTCAGTTCTTCGTCATATAACCATACATCTTGCATTATCATGCAAGTTGTTAAAATATTCTTTCCAAGCCAAATTCATATCCATTTATTATAGGCTGCTGTGAAATGAAGCGATTATAATTCCTTGTGCAATGAAAATAAAGTGCTTTTTATAAAGCAGTGGCTTATAGGTCAAGCATTTTTGTCTCAAAAGTACTGTCATGAATTCATGTTTTAGTGTGTAAAATATTCATACTCTGATGGGGCAAGAAGAATGCAAGTGCTGTATGAGACTGAAAAAGGAGACTGCAGTGTGGTTGTGTCTGTTTGGCTGTGATCCATGTCAGTCTGGTTGTTGCATTGGACACACACACACACACACTCACACTCACACAAAGTAGGTGCTGCTTTGAGATTGCAAGAGCATGCACAAACAGGCACATCACATTACTCCCTTGAAAAGTGGCTAGTGTGGAGTTTTTTTTATCAAACATATTTGCAATCAGAAGTGGAACGAGAAGGGGACAGATTATGAGGAGAGAGACTGGGCGGATGAGAAAAGAAGATGAAAAAATAAGAGGAGGGAGGAAAGTGATTACGGTTAGATGATAAAACCACTGAGGAGAGCCAAGTACGGATAGAAAGAATTAGAGAAAGTTAGGGACAAGAAAAAAGGACAGGAGGCGAGGGGGGGAAAAACAGTGTGATGAGAGAAAGACCGGGGAATCAGAGGAATAAGGGCGAGTAGGAGGGAGCAAGAGGAATCATCAGGAGGTAGTTAGGGATGACAGTTAAAAAAAGGGCAGTGCATGAAGGTTTTTTATTTAAATAAATATCTATATTTAACAGGCAAAAAGAAAGACAAGAAGAGCAAGGAAGAGCTAGAAGGAGGATGAGAAAAAGAGGCGGGGGGAGATTCATTCAAAATAGAGGGAGTGCAAAGGAGCAATAGTTTTTTTTTTTTAAAGCATGAGGAAGAGAGCAATTTAGACAGAGGAGGATACAGTGGAAGAGAGAAATGGTAGTTCAATTAACAACTAGACCTTGTTTCCTTGTACTGGCTTTACTTGAGTCAATGGGTGATAAATCTACCAGTGTGGACACAAAAACATACGCGCACACCCAAAACACAAGCAGGTGCACACACATAAATACGCAGGGGCCAAACAAAGTATTGAGCTTCCTCCAGGACTAATCTTATTACTACCACCTCCTACTGGGAACCATCGCACACATACACAAAGACAAGACCCAGGACTTGTCTTCAGGTTTACCTGGGTGTTGGTTAATGTGTTGGTTTTTAGAACATTCTAGCATCTCTCAATTACATTTTTCCAACAGTGACTGATGATACAATAATAGTCACAGTGACTCATTTATTGACTGTAGAAATGAGCAATACTGCTACTGTTACTGTGGTAGGACTGTGAGGACATATCAGGTTATTCTCTTGTTTGCTTTGATCAGACACAAGCAGCCAAATCTTAAAATGAGCCACTTTGATGCAGAAGTGAAATTGGCTCATTGACAACAGGATGCAACTAAATACCTTTATTTTGTTTCACATGGTATACAATGAATTGTACTGAAGAACAGTAAACTCTGCCTTGCCCTGTGTGGCCCTGGAGGTGCAACCAGATGGATGTCTATGTCAAATGGCCTGGCATGCTTAATGAGATAAGGAAAGGCTAATCTGATTCTATATCAGACAGGCTCTAGGGGTATCCCATTTAGCCACCCGCAGTGTCACTAACACACTGACTTAAAGGCACATCCTTTACTTTTTACATTCTGGTGCTGAGGATGTTTAACGTTTACTTTCCGTTTAACTGTCCTTTACACAGGAAGCGATGAATAGAAATGGTGCAACGCAGAGAAGAAGAGTTCGAGGCTGATTAAAGCAAAGATTTGCTATTTATTTTAAGTAATGAGGTTAAACTAAACTTACTATGTATTCCAAAATATGTGCATACAAAATATACAAATACAACATGCAGTACGTCACACATTGCACAATGCATCAAGCTGATATTCCTGTCAGAAATTCCCCTTAATCAGAAAATGTGTTGATTTGAATTGCAAATGGAAAAGAAAGGATAGTAGGTAGTGAGAGACCTTGACTCAGACACATTACAACAACAACAAATTTACATACTGTACAGTGACAACTCATTAGAGCATACAGCGGAAGCACAGCAAGGACAAACGCAATCTACTTTTCTTCAGTTCAGTGTGAGCGTCTCTGGTTGTGCTTTGTATTTCTGAGGGTTCTTATGTATGCTTTGTGGGGCTGTGTGTATGTTCCTTTTATTTTGTCCGGGCGCAATAGATGTTCAGCAGTTGATATCACTGTGCTAGCCAATTAGGTGATAAAACTGACAGACCGAGGCCAAGCTTGTGAAACACTGAAGGAAATCCCCAGATTACTGCTAAACATACAATAATTTGTGGAACCAAACACGCATGGACGTAAATGGACATGCAAATGCAGACAACCCCGTATACAAAAAGGGAAAGCGAAAGCAAAACACACACATAAATCTCACTTCATTGCTCTCTTTTTCACACGTATATATACCTCACAGGAGCATTTTCAGTGTGCTCTTGGGAGACTCCACACAGTTGGTGGGTCAACCAGCCCATTGACTTTTAGTGTGTCAGTGTGTTTGCCCTGGTAGGATGGAAATGTTAATCTTTTTTAGTCCATGCCTCAGACCATTGGTCCCAATGACAATGTCTATTCCCCCGAGTGTTTCACATCCGGTCCCTGATGAGGGATAAAGTCAGCACTCGGATTTAAGCTCCATGGTGGAACTGCTGGTCCAATTCCACATATTCTCCCTCTCTCTCTCTCTCTCTCTCTCTCTCTCTTACAAACACACATTCACACTCACACCTACACACACACACACACTCCTTGCTTGCCTCCTATCTTGCAAATCCTGCCCCAATCCTTCTCCACACTTTGATATTCCTTCTTTTATTCTTCTTATATGGTTTATAAAAATGCTTTTTACCTCACTATTTACAATATCATGTTTACTGTGAATGTCTGTTGTGCTGTCACTTTAAAATACAGCTTATCATTTT